GCGTCTGAATTGTTGCCGAATTGAGGCCAGTTTTAGGCTGATTTATGGTTGAATTTAAGTTCTGAATGGCCATGTCCAATTGGGATCGATCAGCGTATATTGGCACCTGTTTGTGCCGATCAGAAAACATGGCAAATCAGACGTAAATAGTATCAAAATCAGCCTAAAATCAGCCATCTGATTTTTAGCTGATTTGGACTATTTCGACTAGTGGTAATCTGATTAGTTCAGTGATAACTATGTATAACTCCTTTTTGTAAAGTAACACAAAGCTACTCTTTTCTATTTGTGATTAATTCTTCTTTTGTATTCCCTTAGTTTAGTATTTATTTTAGCTTTTAGTTTATTTATTTACTAATAAATTTTTATTTGATTTACTTAAAACACTTGTATTTATAATGTAATTCACGTTTAATTTTGACTTAATATATATAAATATACTTGATAGTATATTAAATACATTAGGTAGTATATAGTGAATGAATTATACATTCATCGTAGGTTTGAATATATTTTTCAATATATAACAAAACTTAACCAACCAAGATGTAAATATACTTTGCGGTATATAAAAGAACTATTAACTTACTGAGACAATTACTAGATTACTATATAAACTTAAAAGAATTATTACTTGAACATCCTGTTTAATAGTCATAATTCGTAAGAATTACATATTAGCAATATTTGTATTATTTATACTAATATACTTTTTGTTACTACAATATAATCTAATTATTACACATATATAATTTAAATATCACACTTTTTTTCTTATTTCTGAATTATTTACATATTAAATTCTATAATAGGATTATTGACCTTCTATAGTTATTTAGATACCTGATTTTATATTAAAGTGCTGACCTCCTGCACCTGATTGAATGCTAGATTCTATATTGAAATGCTTACCTTTTATACCTATTTAGTTGCATTTCTAGATGTTAAAATGTGGTAAAAAAAAATCGCATTAGATAACACAATAGATCTATAATTAATTTTGGTTAACATTATGTTATAATTTTGATTAATCTTGGAACACATAATTTGGAATCCAACTTAGTGACATGATGGTACTATGATAGTTCCATAGTAATGTCATAAAATTGTTATAGAACTATTAAAGAACTGATAGGAAGCTAGAGAAGTTCTATTAGTTCGCCAGTTTTATATTACTTATATATCAGCTTGGATGCTAAAATATTATATCTAAAAAATTGGCCAAAATTATAGAATAGTGTTAGTCAAAATTAAATGAGTCTACTACACCTACTGCACTAGTTACATGCATTAGTCAAAATAGTCCACTTCGGCTAAATTTCAGCTGGCCGATTTTAAACTGAATTATGTACTAATGCCGATTGAAATCTTGAGCACGATTCGCTGCTATTCGGATGTAAATTTCGGTCAAACTTCGGTTAAATTTCATGACAAACTATCGGTTAACATTCAAATAATTATATTAGCATTCGTTATATCGAATTATGTAATTTCAACTAACATTCAGTAGTCAATACTATATCGAATTATGTAGCTTTTATTTAATATATAACATTTATAAAATAATAATTTATTTATTTATATTTAATTATGGTAATATTGTATTTTGTAAATAAAAGTATACAATAATATACAATAATGAATATTTGCCCTAAAATTCCTAAATAAAATAAGAAATAAAATGAATGGATCAATAAACGAAAAGTAAACGAAAAGTAAATGAATAAATGTATTAGTTCTTACTTAGTCTTGAATTTCAAAATATTCGTCATCATTTTTTTCTTCATCATGCGCAGAAATAATAGGTGTTCGGTCATCTTAAAGACAATAAATATTAGCATATTAATTACAAAATAAGTTTTAAACGCAATTTGATATATTTACCTTCAATATTGATATTATAAACTGAGTCTTCTTGCTTCACATAGCACCACTCAGGTGCGCTTACCAGATGTGGAAGATTGTAGCACTGATTTTTGTCATCATAATGGCAGGCTCTTACTAATTAAGCAGTTTATAACATTAATGCGTGTGGATCGAACACATTATGGAGAAGTTGCTTTAACTAAAATAAAGTAATAAATAATAATGTAAGTATCAAATATATATAACAAAAACAAATATCAGATATAGAACCTTGTCTGATCTCCAGAAAAGATTGTATACGCAGATATTACGTATTATATCATTCTCCTCATTAGTTTCACTCAATTCCGGTGAGTGAACTTTTTTATTCGCCAATAATGTAATCAATTCCATCCTGTCATAATCAATAACTTCTTAGTGTTTGATTGTATAGAGGGATTTTGCTCCCTTTATTCGACGAGCCATTTTCTAAATTGTTTATTGTAAATATAAAAGTTAGTTATATACAATAAATATATAAAATTTAAGCAATAAATCATATCTCACTAAACGACCATTGGCATGTAAGCGTCAATTATCACTGTCGATTCGTCCCTTATTTCTATAGTTATTTCAGCTTCTTCAGGATCTATGTAATGATTGTAACCAATTGCTAATTTGGTCTGACGAAATACGATGTTTCAGCTTTAACGACTTTACTAATTCAGGAATTAGTCTTCTTCGAATTTTGACATTCGCTGGGCTATTGAACGTTTCTTCGTAATTCATATCGAGTTCAGGTAGAAGAGTCTTTAATATAGTTTTCATCCCTGTCTAAATTATTTACAAAAAAAGCAAGAAAAAACGGAAATTTGATGAGTATCGGCAACACCATAAAATATATAATCATCTAAGAAAATTAGACAAACCCTGGCATATTTTTTGCCCATTTTTTATCTCTCTCGTTGTGTAAACTTCTTTCAGCTTCAGAACTTTCATTTGAACTATCTTCTAGACTGCTCGAACTATTCTCGTATCGCATGCCTTTCGATTTCTTAGAGTGTTTACCTTCCAAAATACTTTTATATCGCTTACCTTTCAGCCTGGTGTAATGTCTTTTCAAACCGCTCCTTACCTTTCGTTTAGATTTTCTAGCTTGTTTTGATTTATGCTTATTTGTTCGAATTTCATCATCTGATGATCGATTCAGGATTTTGGTAATTCAAACGATTGATACTCTTTAAGGTCTACTTGAAGTTGATCGTTTTCGTGGCTGAACTCTTGATTGATTTCCATTAATAGTTCGTTACTTTCTTGTAAACTTTTATACTTCAAGGAAATCATTTGGAATTTATCATTAAGCTCATCTATTTGACATCGAAGTTCATCATTCTGAGCCTTTAATTTTTTGTTTTTGGCTTTAAAGTCTAAAAATGATCATAAATGTAGTAATGTCATTAGAATGTAAATATTTCAAATAAAATAAATAAAAC